AAAAAAAAAAAAAAAAAAAATGGCCTAGGTTAAACAAACAAACAAACACAACAGAAATAACCAATAAGCGGCAAACATCGTAACCGAAGTATCCAGTAATTTGAATTACATTTCATGTGATCGAAGCTCAAATAACTCGTGACGCGGCATTGCATTCAAGAGAATCAGTTCACCGTCACCGACGCATCCTAGAATTAGACCGCAAATTTTCGACACATTTCACGTGATCGATGCTCAAATAAATCGTGACAAGACATGATTGCATTTCAAGGGAATATATGATGTTCGACACTGACTCGCTAAATACACGAGTGCTTTGGATTACCTTTAAATTTTGGTTGCCCCCAAAAATTTGGTCATACCGACTGACCTGTCCAGCAGTCCACGGGCTGTGAACAGAAAATGTCTCTCATACTTGGGCTAGATCCGTGCGGAAATGCTACAGTTACACCTCCAAATTATTTGTCTTTCTTCACGGCCTCATCTTCAATATTAATTACTATCGTTGCGTCTGTTGGAAACTCTCTTGTGGTCATTGCTGTCATCTGGAATCCTTACAAAGACTTGCGGACACCGTTTAACTACTTCGTAGTCAATCTTAGCATTGCGGACCTTGTCGTTGGACTCATTCTAGGGCCTTTGTCTACGATTTCTCACGTGCTTGAGGGACTTGACATGCTGAAGCCGCCTTTTAAACACGCAGTCCATATAGTGTACTTCACTTTTTGCACCGCGTCACTTCTCAGCCTAACAGCCATGGCGCTCGATCGCTATCTCGCCATAATGCACCCTCTGAGTTATCGAACCAACCTTAGCCCTGTCAGGGCGTTGTTGATTTCAGTTCTGTTGTGGATTGTGTCCATTCTGCTTTCGATGATCTATTTCATTGTGGGGTACGACAGATTTCGCTTCATCTTTGCGAACACTGCTGTAGCTGTTACCATCATTGACCTGATCTTTACAACAACGAAGATTCTGAAGCATTTGCGACACCAGATGCAGCAATGGGACGACTTGCTCGAGAGTTCAGGGGAGAACTTGATTATGAGAAAGTTAATGATGTGGGAAAAGAAAATGACGAAAACACTGCTCATTGTAACGCTGTTGTTTCTTACTTTTTATCTCCCATCATGTATTTTTATTTACATCATCGACCTCTGCACAAATTGTCATTGTGTGTTTATTCATTGGATCAGGGACTTTCAGTGGCTTCTTGTAATGACCACTTCAGCCGTGAATCCATTTGTGTACGCCTGGAGATTGGAAAATTTTCGAAGGGTTTTCAGGGGCATTGTGACATGTCACACGTGTATTAGGTCCATGTCAGTTTTGAACCACAATCATTATCAACCGTTGTGAACGCTAATGGGTCTTAAAACAGCTACGTGTGAAAGGTGCAATTTAGTTGATATAGAGGACGTTAAGTAGACAGCCGAATAAACTGAAATGCAGAACTACCAGAAAGGTAATTTCAAAGGCCTATGGCGGCCATAAGCCGGTGGGGGTCAATATGTGTAAAGCACGGGACGGTTTTCTCCATGATGACTGTCTCGTGGGGTATACGTGACAAATCAACATCACACACCGCTGCTGACCGACTATCGGTTTATTTCGGTTGATATCGAGCGACCTTTAGATTTGGGTAGGTGTACGACAATGTGTTCGATTAACAATTTTCAATTTCAGTGCTCGTGCTTTCGCTTGGTATACGTCACATAAATCTTGTACCGATAGTCTACTAACTATTAACTGAATGTCAGTGATGTTTGTAAAACAAGACGGTATGAAAAAAGAGTGATGAAATCTATTCACTGTCTATTGACCTTTAACACCCAAGCTTTTACAGTATAAAACTGTTTAAGACGGATTCCGCTCAAAGTGCGAGCAATAAGTGCAAAAATTACTTACTAAAAATTTACTCATAGCACGGTAACGTTTTGAATACTATTTAAAACATCTCACCGTAATTCATTTCTCCAGGCGACCCCGCGATTAAATCCCCAAGCATTCTCGAGAAATTTAATGTCAAACCTCGTAAGAATGCTTAAAGGCTCTGTTATTGTGTTTTCAACTAACGCGAGACGTCCGTTTTAATAGAAATATTGATAACTTCAAGTTCAATTTTCTCTCGCGGGGTCAGCTTGAGAGCTAAGGTCCAGATAAGATCTTCCTACTTTTATTCAAAATATTACCATGCCATGAGGTTTTTTTTGGTAACTTAATTTTTGCCATTATTGTTCGAATGTTCTGCGGAAATCATCTTAATTTTTAATACTCTCCCAAACCAAATACATTGAATTAAGTACATGAAAAGTTCGGCGTTTAAATCACTTAAGAACGGCTATTTCAATTTGGTATATGGCCCAGCAGTTCTTACCACCTAGCTCAGCCGGGAATTTCGGCTTTGGAACGGCTTTAATTCAGACGTCGAACTTTTCATGAGCTGAACCTAATGCATAAATTATTATAACGTATTTTACAAGCAGTTGTCTCTTTGCCTGAAAATCGCCGACATTTCGATGTGATTTGGTTTAAACTAAATAAAGTTCGGCGAATTTAGTTCGACGTCTGAATCAACAGGTGTACTTTTGATAATTTGGGTCGGTCTAAATTCGAATTAAGTTCGGCTCATGAAAAGTTCAGCGTCTGAACACTGATGTACTACGTTGCGAACGAAATGGTGCCTGACTGCATCCAAGGATTGTGTGAGGCCCAAAGTTCGGATCGGTGAGTTTTCGATTACCGAACTCAATCGAACCACTCGAACTACACCGACCAGATTAGTTCAATTTTGTTCGCCAGAAAGACAAAACGGTACAAAAATCAATAAGCATTCAGTTCCAATTAAATCGGAAAGACTCCCCTTTTATATTAGTGTGTATAAAATTGTTAAAGTAATTCGAAATCCCTTTCTCCACTTTTCTTGCTAACGATAAACTTTTCACCGACACGGTAGCCTTTAACTTCAGGAATTGCACCCTCTCCGGCATCTTGCCTGTGTACTCGTACCAACACACAACTTTATGTGACCACAACACCTTGTTTAAAACCAGATAAAACTGACTTTATGTTTGATTGCGTAGGCCGGTTCGATTATGTTTGATTGTAAAAACGCTCGATTTCCGATCGAACGTTCGATTGTATTCGATTGGCAAAATTTTGGTTGGAGTTCGATAATGTTCGATTAGCGAACCCAGTGGCAGTCAATCGATCGATTGGAGTTCGAATGAGTTCTTGACTACGCCGGGAAGAATATCGAGGATGAAATTTGCGAAATTTTAAAAATATTTTAAGAATAAACTCCAGGCTGAGGTTTTGAAAAGAATTTAAAAGAAAAAAGAAACAAATTTTAACTTAGCCTTAATAAAATTGTGCCTTTCTCTAAACGGTAAAACGAGTCAAAAGGAAACAAAGACAGCATTAGGCCTTTTTTCGAAGCTACTAACATTTCTGCACTCATAAGTCATGTGTGTCATATTAGGTTTTATTACATTGTCTGCAGTCTCGCTGCAAAATTACTTCAACGGCACCAAAGTCGAACCGGAATGTCATACGCTGAGAATATCCGCAAGAATATATTCAGCCCTAAATCGGCAAAAAATAAGAATAACCAGCCTGAGCCGGAAAAACAATATTCTTAAAAAGAGTGTGTGAAAGATGCAATCCAGTTATATAGAAGGCATAAAGTAGACAGTCAAATAAACTGAATGGCAGAACTTTTCAATATGCAAGGTAAAAGTTATGAAGACCCATGGCGGCGGCCATAAACCGGTGGGAATCAAAACGAGTATAACACGGACGTTTGTGACCGTGATGAGTGTCCCGTGAAGTATGCGCGACAGAACACAGCGGAATTGAAACCGGAAGATACCGCTGTTTGCTGATCATCGGTTTATTTTCGTTTAATACTGTGAGCCACCTTTGGATTGGAGAAGGAGTACGAGATTGTGTACGCGTAAGACTTTTCAAGCCTAGTGCTTATGTTTTGGATAACATGTACCACATTTCACATCTTTTTGGACTGTTACGGTTTCCTATTCAACTGGTCAGCAACAAGGAGAAACGAGGAATCTAAAAACATATAACTACGCGGATTAATATTCGAAAGATGTACTCGATCAAGTTCTCCTATCGATATCTAAAGGTCCCTAATATTGTTAGTGTCGTGGTGTTTGTCCGGCCGTGTATCCGTGTCTCCTTACAAGGCCGTGTATCCTTACAAGGACAATCTCGCTCTAGTAGATCCCTATCTATTTGTCCCCATTGTTATAATGTGGTACGATTCTCGCCTTCCAATCCAGTAGACCCAAAAAGCCAAGCTGGGACAGATGATCATAGGGCTTCGATTCAACAGGGTGTTGCTATTTCGCATCATCGACATTAAATTGCATCTGGTAGCATAATTTGTAAAAATTCCGCATAAGCTGAAAAACAATTTGAAAAGCATTTTCATGGTGGAGCATCGCTAAATAATTGACTTTTCGTCGGCAGATCGTGATAAGTTACTGACGTTAAGTTAACTCGAGAAGACAAAATAAGAGTTTGGCGAAACCAAGAATTAAATTAACCTGTACATTGAAGGAAATGGCGTTGGACCTAAAAAAGTGCTCAAATTACTAGTAGGAATTGGAAAATACTGGGAATTAGACTTCTGCGGGAATATCAGTGACGTTTGTACTGACGGCCTTAGCTCGGAGGTTTCGTATTTACTCCGAGGCCTAACTTTCTTGTTTAAAGTGTCGACAGGCCATAAAAATAAAAGCTTTGGAAAATATCCTCGTGATTATTTGAATCACTCTTATTTCTTAATAATTGCTGCAAGTGTTTTGAAGCCTACACACACCTCGCGGCAAACAAACAGTGAAAAGAATAAAACATTACATCCGGAAAACATTTCGCAAAAATGCTGACGCGAAACTGGTCCTTTTTAGTTGACGGCGGTTTGTCTTGGCGATCTTCGTGGTCTGGGTGCTGTCGCTGTGGACGAACACAGAGAATTCGCTTGTATACTAACCCGCCTCGTGTAAATGACGGGAAACCTGGTACTGCGGCACTTGTTCAAGTTCAAAGATGTTCCATCAAGTACTGCAAATGTGAGTTCTTTTTCTCATGTTTAGCACATGTAAAAAAGACATGTCAAGTGCAAGAAGAGTGGGTGGGGGTGGGGAAGGGGGGGGGGTGGGGGAGGGTGTTGATGATCTAAAGCATTAACAAATTTCTACTCTCGCCTCGGAAATACTGGACAACTAAAACTAGATCGATAGGTCATCAAGTATCCCTGATTAATAGATGGTCGGCCCCAGCCAATTGCGCTTACGTGCATGTTCTAATTAACAAATCGAATGTGGTTTAGCGTGGTCTGTACTCTTATCGACAACGATTAGGCGTCATCGCAGTAGTCAAAATGTTGTGGACTCGCCGAGACGCACCAAAATATCAAAAATAACGAAAGAAATCTTTGCCAAGATTTGTTGACAATTGAAAGTTCGGACTTGAAAGTGCTCGCGCTGCACTATGCAAATGAGTTACTTGTACGCGTCAGACTTTCCTTTCAAAAATTTTTGCAAACTCGCTCAACATGCAGAAACAAAAAAAAAAAGAAAAAGAAAATGTTTGGGAAAAGAGTGATGACACATACTCGTTGTCGATAAGAGTACAGACCACGCTAAACCACATTTCGATTTGTTTTTACCACGATATCAACGTCAAAGAAAATGTTTTTTTTTTTTTTTCAGGGTGCGAGCATAAAAAAGGCATTGCGCGACACATCGACGCGAGTAACATGGTCTGGAATCTTATCGACAGCGGCAAATTAGCCAATCAGATTGCGAGATTAGCAGCAATTGTGGTAAAAAATCAGTCATTTAAAGCAAAATAGTTGTCCTTCTTCCCTTGCATTTGCTAATTTGCCACGAGGTTGAAATTACTTATTGTTTTTCCATAGAAAGAAAAGAAAAACACTCCTCAGGTTACTGGCGATGACTGAGTTTTTGTAAGAGCAAAGCTTAAGAGCCTGTGTATGTCTTGTTGTTTTCTCTTGAACAAAACATTTCAAACTTTTCTTAGAACATTTCAAACTGTTCGTTGATGAGTGAAGACATGTCGTCCGGCTGAGAGCTCATTTTACTCCTGAAGGAAGAAGATGCTTGATGCTGGAAAGACCTAACACTTGGAAGGAAGTCCTTATTCGGATTTATCTATATCAACCAAAGGCAAGCACTGCTGTTGGAAAGCATTCCTTTAATTTTGTCCAGAAGGCCGAACAAGTTTTAACTGTTGACCAGGCGAGTGAAAAACTCAATTCAATTCAATTCAGTTTTAATTTAAACTCTCCCAAACATTAATTTTACAGAGCTATCAGAAAAAAATAGTATACGTATAAACACGTGGACACATACGGACACACGTGGCCTCGCTGTTTGCTTTGAAGCTCTTTAACCGTCGCTTCAGGACAGCAAAGAGACATCTTAATGTAAATAGTAAGGTACGCATATTCAAGGTTAACGGCAACCTGAAAACCAGTTGTTACATCTGGGTTTTAAATTTGCCGCCATTTTACTGCCAAATGTAAAAAAAATCCTAGCTTTTTGAACAAACTTTGAAGCTTTGTCCAGCAACTTATAATACAGTGATACAAGAAATATAACGTGAGGCTCCTTTGTAAAATATGCACGAACTAAAACTAAATTTGCTCGAGTCAAATCAGTAATACAAGACAACCTACCTATTTACATAAATAATATGCATGTGATATGGCGGCTTCATGGGTGGCTTCCTCCAATCTTCTTCTGTGATCTAGGATTGAGAAAAAGCTAGCCGCCAAATTACAATATGCCTCAATGCAGTGGCCATAAAATGGGCCGGGATAAGAAAACTTATTTACTTACCAATAAGTTGAGAATGGTTGTCAATGAAATATCCTTCCCTAATCTCTCCTCGGAAGCTAGACTTTCTAAAAGTCCTTTCCAATAATTCTTCCCTGGCCTGTTGGCCTGTTGATTTGTCGACTTACGTCGCTCGCACTCGCAACTTCGTCGCTCGAAGATTACCCTCTCGCTTCGCTCGAAGGAGATAAATAAGTCGAGGTTTAAGAAAAGGTCGACTTGCGGCAAGTCTAGTTGGAAGCTAGCACGTGGGAAAATATTTTCTAGTTGAACGATCGATAAGCATTGCGGGATATGTGTTCTTTACGGTCCCTTCCTCTCCGCATAGGGAGCAAAAAAATCCTATTTTGACATGCGTTTGAATTAACCGTGTGCATGAAAACTTGCGATCGCCGTTTTACTTTGTTGTATTTTAAAACAATCTGGCGACTACAAGTCAACTATTCTCGCATTTTGATTGGTTCTCGCCTATAATCTATTAGAGGACAGACGTGTAGATGGCGTCATTAACTTTTTTTTACTACATTTCTGTTTAAAAGTAATGCAAATGAATTTTGACGAAATTCCTGGATTTTCCTGGCTTTTCAAGACAATTTTATCTGAAGCGACATTTCGCTCGTTTATCGCCGTAATTTCGCGTCGCCTATTGTTTTCGAGTCCGCGCGAATTTTCGAACTTAATTCGCTCTTCCCAAAAATTCCCAGAAAAATTCAGAATGTGATAAGAACATCAGTGACACACTCGGCTAAAGAGCTCGTACGTCATTTTTTTGTTCGAATTCCTCCCACATTTTGACGTCATCTGTGATCTATTACTGAACAGACGCACAGCAACATGGAAACTGTTTCTTAAAAAATGCAACGTGACCATCAATTTAAGCTAGTCTAAATTTCGATTTTCATTGCTTGTCGCTAACGAGTATAATTTCAATAATTATGAGGTTTTTATTCTGCTACTGTATTTAATATAAATCTTGCTTACGGACGGTACCTGCAGGCTTGGTGAATTGTTTGTTTTGTTCTCAGGCAAGGGGAAAAGGTGAGTTTTTCATGGTTGAAAACAGGACTTGAATGAGTAGATTTTCTCGTGTTAGTTGTACGCGTGAGCTTTTACATTTCTTCTGACTTATAACGAATAACGCTTATGGAAGGAAACTCTCTACTCTGGTATTAAGTAAATTTGTGAGTTTCTCAGAACAATGCTTATCATAACCAAAATCTGTTTACCAGTTCCTTCTTGTTTCTGCTTGTTTGGCGAGTTTGCAGAAGTTTTTGAAGTAAAATCTGACGCGTACACGTAGCTCATTTGCATAGTGCAGCGCGTGCACTTTTAAGTCCGAGTCAGTCTTTTCGATTGTGAATAAATCTGGACAAACATTTTTTTCGCCATCTTTTGTGCTGAGATGCTGCAACAATTTTCGCCAACGCCAACGCTAAAAGGCCTCTAACATCATGTGTGTTTCTTCAACATAGTGAAATTTTAGACTACGCAAATGAAATAGACCAGGAGTTTTGAGAATTCATGCAAACAACAAAATCTAAATCGATATTCGGGTTGATTAAAGAAAGCGCTACCTTACCTCTGCTGTCTTCCCATATTTCCAGGTAACATTTTGAGATGTTCTCAAACATTTATCAGTCTTAAAAATATTTAAAAACCAAACTGAAATATTGTTTGAGTGCGATGGACTTTCTTACACGAAAGAGCAGAAGTCCAATTTGTAATGTTTAGCTACAAAACACTTTTTCATCGACAACAGACGATTTATAGGATTCTTAAACAAACAAAATTGAGCAGTATTTACAGACGAAAATTATTGTGCCCTGATGAAACATCACGTGTTGCTTGCAATTCAGGCGAAACTCAAACTCGCAAAGTTTTATTACTTTTCGGTCGCGATAGAATCTATGGCGAAATCCTCGCAATCGGGTGGCAAGAGGAGGGGAACTTCGAAGTAAATCGCTGCTATATCCAAATATATCTAGCTAATTTTTAGATATGTTTTGGAAAAGCTGTTGATCTTCAACAATACGTAAAATTTAGAGTAGAGTAATAAGGAGTCCTCGTAAAGGAAGCAGCGGATCGGAACACAACTTGGTCATGATAAGCGGAACATACCTACATTCGACACGTGTCTTACTTCACTCAAATTTGAGCTGCTAAGAGGAGAATACTTAAGTGATGTTCCAACAGACATAATAGTATTGATTTGTGGACCAGAAATATAGAAAAAGCCTTTAAAAGTACGCCACTAGTGGCTCAGAAAAAAAGAAAAAAAAATTGATTTCCTGTTTGTCAAGAGGAGATTTTACAATTATTATACATTGCATGTAGTCACCATCTGTCTTCTCATTGGCCGAAAGCCTACAGTTAATTATGGGAGACAACGCAACCTACAGATTATTCACTAATCTGCTAGCAGATTAGTAAATAATCCGTAGGTTGCGCGCGCAATGCATGATTTCCAAGAGTAATGTCAAGTTCACGTAAGAACATGGCTCGTCGAAAATAAACTGTGTTCGGTGCGATAATGCGTTTGTCGTTATTTTCTTTAAAAGAATGTACAATAAAACAATTATGAGATTCGGGTTTTGTAATATCCGAAATAATCAAGGTCTCGGTTAGTATTATCAGCCTCAGCCTTCGGCTTCGGCTGATAACACTTACCTCGACCTTGATTATTCCGGATATCACATAAATCTCATCCAATGCAGTAATTGTTTATTAATCGCAACGGAAGCGCAGAAGGCGCGCTCGGGCCAGTCTTTCTCCGCATTCGCGACATTGGACCAAGTACGGACTGCCCGTTTTACCGCACGAGCGCGCTAAGGTTAAAATTGAAGTAAGTAAACGCTCTATCACGATAAACGTGCTTTTCTCCGTAGAACATTATATTCAACTCTAACTGTAAACTTGTAGCTGCAGATGCAAAACAAGCGCGAGAGAGGCAAATGTTTGACTTACTAGGGAAGCGACGGGAACTGGTAACGGGCACCGAAAAAAAAAAAAAAAACCAAAAAAGACTGAAACAATCCATTTTAACTTTCAAAATGCGTGGTTACCGCTACTTTTTATGTGGCAAGCCTATTCAACACGTGATTATTTTCTGGTTGTAAGGAAAAGGACGATTTTAAAAACATTTTTGACTACAAGTGTATTTTTTTTGTTATCGTTTGCCATTTAGTTGAAAGATCTTTTTAAATGTGTTCAGTGGCTATTTTGCACGTAAACCCAATTCTGAGAAAATCTGTGAAGAAATATGGGATTTTCCTTCTCGGTTTCTGAAAAATGCTGTGGTCAGTATTTTTGCTCAAGATTCAAGCCTAATTATCTCAGAAAAATGCATGGCTTCTCTCTGGATTTTAAAATAGCCCTTGCTTAAATCTGCTTATTCCTCCGCTAATCGGGCGAAAACAACTTTGTACTAGAAGGCACCTTTCTTTTAAAAGGAAGTGCACTATTGCTATATGTTGTCAGCAAGAGACTGTTTTAGTCTCTCGCTGTAAGTTGTAACTATGGTTACATAATTACATTCAACTAATAAAAATAAACTGAGCAGCGGTTTTCGGTTGCGTTGAAACTGAAAGAGTTCCTGCTTCCGGAAACTATTAAAAGTGTATTATAAGAAACACCTCCACTCGCAGTCTTTACACGGAATAGTTGCAAGCCGAAAATGTCTCTACTTGGGAAATATCCGTGCGACAACATCACAGCTCCAACGTATTTGTCCTTCTCCACGGCCGCATCTTCAATATTAATTACTATCATTGCGTCTGTTGGAAACTCTCTCGTGGTTCTTGCTGTGTTCTTGAATCCCAACGAGGACTTACGAACGCCGTTTAACATCTTGTTAGCGAATCTTAGCATTGCGGATCTTGTCGTTGGACTCATATTAGGTCCTATGTCGACGACTTACCATATCTTTGAGGGACTCGACATGTTGAAGCAGCGTTTTCAAGACGTGGTATATCTCTCGTACTTCATTTCTTGCACTGCTTCTCTTCTCAGTCTCACAGCCCTGGCTCTAGAGCGCTATCTCGCCATCACTTACCCTCTGATGTACCGAACCAAGCGCAACCCTGCCAGGGCGTTGCTGGTCGCGCTCATGGTGTGGATTGTGTCCATTCTGCTCCCAATGATTTACTTCATCGTGGGCTACAACAAATTTCGCTTTATCTTTGCGAACACTGCTGTAGTGATTGCATTCGCAGTGCTGATTTTCACCAATGCAAAGATTTTCAAGTATTTGCGAAACCAAGTACAACAATGGGATGACTTGCACGACAGTACTGAAGAGAACTTAGCCATGAAACAAGCGATAAAATGGGAGAAGAAAATAACGAAAACACTGGTCATTGTGCTGGTGTTATTTTTAGCGTTTTATCTGCCGTCCTGTGTTTGTATTTATATCATAAACTTCTGCACAGACTGCGACTGCGTGTTTATCCACTGGGTCAGAGACATTCAATTTGTTCTAGTAATGGCCAATTCAGGCGTCAATCCATTCGTGTACGCCTGGAGATTGGAAAATTATCGAAGAGCTTTTAAGAGCTTTCTGACGTGTCACGCGTGTATGGAGCGGCTAAGGTCCATTTCAGTTTTGAATTTGCAATTATCAACAACAGTGAGCACCGATGCGCCCTCAAACAACCCAGAGGGGCCATGCAATCCGACAGTAGATATCGAAGAAGTTAAGTGAACAGTGGAATCAACGAAATAGAGGATTTGAACCAAGGGAAGATAGACCTTGAAGGAATTAAAAACCTAAACATGGTTATATTTAGCATCTGTTTCAGGGAAATGTTTATGCCAAAGTTCAAACCGATAGATGCAGCTGACTGAATATTGGTTTACGCTCAATTTAGTTAATGATTGTACATTTTAGGTTCCCGTTCTTCTTCCACCAGGCAACCCCTAAGTCTACAAAAAATTGTTCATTCAAACCAAAACTTGGACATAAAATTACATGTTATGGCAAGGCTATGCAATCAATGTATGTTTAGTCGATGATGACGCACAACATCGACACAATTCATTTACCCTTTGTACTGACCTGTAATGGCACGTAAAATATGATTTGCCTCAAGTCACCGTGGCTTGCTAAAAGCAGGGTTAAAAAATATAAATAGACTGCGTAAAAGACAGCTTACAGCTGTTTTGAAATAAGTGTGTGTGCAAATGGCTATTTTGTTGTTGGGATTCGATGATCATTTGTAATTGTTGCAATTTGATGTCTGGTATAATTAAAGTGGCTGCGAGTCACAGAACTTGGAAAATAAATTATAAATACTTTCACCCTCCAGTAACTGTGTCCTAGTAGCGTAGTGTGATAAGCGCTGGTTCTCTGTGCGAGAGATTGTGAGTTCGAATCTTAATGGCTCCTGCTGATTATTTTTCCTTTTCTTCCTCATTGATTTTTCTTTTACTGTCAAGAAACCATTTACCGAAAGGTAGCGTTTGTCTTTCCGTTTCTTTGTTTAAAAAAAAACAAAAAAAAAAAAACAGTCTGGAGCCGTAATTATATCGATTGCTTTCGAACTCACAATATCACGTAGGTTTGTGAAGGAAAAACCACGAGGACTTTCGCTGGATCGAATCCCTAAGCAAGAACCATAAGTATTTTCCATACAATGAGAAAATCGTTACACCTTCTACCTCTCCAAAAAAAAAAAAAAAAAAA